AAAGATACTGAGAGGTAACACACCCAAGCAAAGAATTTGCACACTGATTTGAAAGTGTGTCTCCTCCTTGGATTCAGTGCACTCTGGACCCAAGCTGTCTTGATGAGAATGTCTGCATGTGTCATTTATTGGAATCTGAGTCATTACAGGCCCATTATTTGCAATTAAAAAAGAAAAAAATAAAAAAATCTTTGTGGCAGAACTGATTCTGGACCCAGGACATGGGAAGCCCAAACTTCAGTGAGTAGAAGCTAAATATGCACTGTGCAAGAGAAAAGTACCCAGAGGTAACTGAGAACATTTTTGAATTGGGACCCTGCATACTAGGGAGAAGTATTTTCATCTGTTGGCCTCAGATTAGCTTTTTCTAGCAGCTGATTTAGCTTATAGTTGCTCCAAAACCCCTTTTTTTTGCCTCACTTAATATTTACTTTCAGCATAGCAATTAAGGTGTCCATCAAAGCATTGTGAATCCTTGGTGCCAGACAGCTAACATTCAGGAGGTGCAGCACTGAATATTTCATTGTGTTTTTGATTCTTTTCCCAAGATAAATCATAGTTTTGCTACAGGATGCTGTGACCAGGAGTCCCATAATTAGTCCTCCTCCAGTCATCAGCTTCTCTTATATAAAAATGTGACCTAACCAGACTGTCTGCCTGAGTCTTTATCACCCATTTTGATTCTGTGACCCTACTGTTCTCTCCATGATGCATATTGGACTCCATAACTTCCCTTGGCTGCATGCCAGATCAAGAAAAATGGTGGTTACCACATTTTACATAGCTCTATGACCTCTCTGAGGCTAATAGCAAACTGCCAGTGCAGCTGTCAGCTGGGCGGTTTGTGTTTGGCTAAAAGCAAATGTCAATAATAATCAGCATCTGCTGTGGGTCCTACACTACTGGGCACATCTTCAAGAGTGCATCACAGCTCAAAGTGAAGCCACTTATTTAACTGCCTAAATATGGATCAGAAATGCACATTTATTTGTTGTTGCTGATCACATGCATGAGCAGAGATGCATCTCCATGCCCATTCCAACCACCTTTCTCTAAGGATAACTAACACGTGGCTAAGAGGGAAAGTTTCTATTAAAATTATTAAGTTTTATCCACAGTGAATTCCTGTGCTACATGATACTGTGTTATATTTGAACATTGTCCTGTTTCATAGAGTAAATGAAATCTCTAGAAGGATTTTAAGATGCTAAATCTACCACTTATCATTCAATTTACCTTTGATACCTCATAAAATTTCACGGGGTTTCAGGCTAGAAGAAGCTAGTCTAGGCTGACTTCTTGTATAGTGCCTTTTGCTTAAAACTTGACCTACTTGAGGCATGAAATCAACTGTAGAGGAAGGGCATGGCACAGAGATAACAGGAGACACCCAAACACCCGCAGTGGCAGAGAACCAAGTAAGTTTAAATGATCTTGCAGGCAGTCTACATCCCTCAGATAGGACAGGAGAAAAAACCACGGTTACTTCCAGATTGAGAACTTGCACTCAAGATCATTCTGGAAGCAACCAGCTTCTGTCTCCCAGAGAGTCTGACACCATGCAGGTACATCCCAGGTGACTTCCATTGCCCTCCAGCAGTAAGTCACCATCCCCAAAATTCACAGTCCCAGAAAATATGTTATATCAATCCCTGGGTCATCACAATTTTAAAAATATACCAGGACTAGAGCTGAAGTTATGGTGATCCACTATTAAAGTAAGGAATGATTTCTGGAGAAATTCCCTCAGTTCCTTTGAACTGCCATTCACCCATGGAAGTCCAGGTAAATACAGTACAAATCCCTTTAAACTCAGTATCTGGTGTCAAGGATGGCAATTTTACACCTGGACATAAATAAAAGTAGGTTACTCTTTATACTCAGACTGATTCCAGTGCTTTAGCAGCACACTGTGCTTGTTCACTATTCATTCCCAGGATTTATGGTTATGCAATAGGTTGCTTAGACAAGGATTCCTGTGATATTTATAGTCAGTTTTTCTTTCTTTTTTTATCTCTCTTTTTTGGCCTGAGTTTCAGAACTCCTCTAGTATTTAACCTCAGAGCAGACTTTCGTCCCTTAACTTTCTCATTTAGACAAGAACACTTTCCTCCTTTCCTTTCCTCCTGTCTGATGAACAGTTACTGGTGACAAGGTATGTCCTCAGCAAAAGAGAAGGCTTTATAAACCTCCTGAAGACCTTCTCAGAACAGATACTCTTGGCTCATGATAGATATCGCTGAAATTTATGGAAAACTGAGCACCTTATTCTTCCAACCTCCTTTGAAAAATCGATCTTCAACTCTTCTAAAAATCCAGCTGAGTTCCATCTTTCTGCTGTTTTAGACTTACAGTAGAGTCTCAGATACAGACTGTAGACTCAATGCCAGCCTACGTGAAGACTGTGGTGGGTAAAGAAAATGACAAGTCACTTGATACTTACATGTGGCTCATATTTCTCAAGAAATTTTAAGAATCAGTGTCCTGACAATATTTTATTTACCCTTAGACCTCAAACATCCTCCCAACTTTTAAAATAAAAACCTTACTATAGTGCAGTTTTTAAATGACCAGTCTGACTGTTCACCAAAAGATAAACATTTTCAGATTCATTTGCTGCCTGAGTTTTCAGATTCAAAAGGAAAATAAATGTCTTTCATCTGTGTGCACATACCACTCTCTTTAATACCAAAAGAATTTGTTATGATCTCTGCTATTCCTAAAACCACATAAATTAAAACAATAAGACAGCTAGAATAAAGTGTTACCAAATCCTAATCTCTAAAAGTGGTGTGAAATATTTTCCAGCAAATAAAAGCAGAAAAAACTAATGATCTAGAGCTTTTAACCTATTTATGTGAAAGACTAAAATAAACCTAGATTCTAAGTCTTGATCAATAATAAAAATGTGTGGTCTAGAAAATAGCCTACAAAGTGTATACACTGGTCTCCAGCTGAAAATGTGGACGCTTGTTAGTTAAATATTTTGGTGGGGGAATTTCACTCTTCAGTTTAGGGGATTCTGCCCTAACTTCAAAGAAAATGTAGCTATTTCTGGTTGTTATTACAAGAAATCATTCATAGAGCTAGATCCCTTTGGAAAGAATGCTAACAATTTCAAATGTCATAGGCCAGTATTGACATGAGCTTTGAAAAAGGATAACATTCCATGCAGGGAGTCAAGGGATCGAGTAATTGTCCTTATATAATGTAATTGCAGAAGGAACTCACCTTTTATACTCAGTCAGAAAGAGAAGGAGGTTTTGGTTAATAATGAAGGTTTTGTGCCTTTTTTGTGAATCTTTTTTTTTATCTTTTCAGGATGTAGGAACATGGAATAGATGGTACTTAAACCTTGGATGCTTGTGACAGAGAAAGAAAACACTAATTTCTCATATTTTCAATTCCTATTGCAAGTAAAGGAGCCACTCTTTCAGTTTGTCCTAGGATAGAGGCTGATCCTCCCTAATATCCCCATTAGTTAATTTATAACTGATAAGGAAAAGGAAGACAGTAAGTGTATCTTCTCAAAAAAACCACCACATTCATCAGGGAGGTGCTGGTGACCTCTGTCCCAGACCAACTCCTGTAGGATGGACTGTGCTCCTTTATGCAGAGAAGGATGTTGACACAGTCAGGTTTTGTAGCCTTTAGGATACCTTTGGCTGAATACTGCGGGTGACTTTGACAATCTCTGGGCCAAAGTGCTCCTAAGCAGCACCAGTGTCACACTGAGTCTTTTAATGTCAGAAAAAAAAAATCCCTAACTCCATGCCTGATTACTATTTTGCTAAATTTAGGGGCTAGCTGGAATCTGTAGCTACACACATCATACACAGATGTGATGGGAGTAGCATCCCCTGTTCCCTTCCACACCCATCAGACAGCTCTACACCCGAACAAGCCCCAGGGCAGTGGACAACTCCTGGTTGGAAACGTGAGGAAGATCAGGCAAAGAGAATCCAGGGAATCCAAATGACATCTCATGGTCCAGCAAGCTGATGAAGTCACCATGAGAATAGGACTAAACTCCACACTGAAAATCAAAACTTTTACGTAAATTTAGTATAATTAAGAATTATATATAAAATCTGTGCCTGGACATCTCATTTGTAGAGTGTTCTTATCAGGTGGTCAGGCACACTAATGTTATCTCTGTCCCTAGGCACTGATAGTAAATCTCAGCACTCAATCCACCTGCCCCCTAGTCTTTTTGTCATGAGATTTGAGATGCTCCTGGACACCCAAGGCACCTGCACAGGGCTGGGAGGACCTATGGGGGTACCCATGCCCTTCTGGAGCCAAGGGAGCCCACGGTCACCAGGCATCTCAGGTGCCTCCATACACCTATATGCGGGCAACTGAGTTAAACACTGATTATCACTTGCTTAGATACCACAGAAAATTAAAAACGCCTTTTTAAAAAATATATAATTTCAACATATTTTTATTCTAAGTGGTGCACTGACAGTCTTGGAGGCTTTTCTGATGTCAACTGAAAATCTCACTGAAACTAGTTCATTTTCTTGTCCTCTGCAGTCATCTTGTCGATCTTCCCTGCCTCACCAGATTTTGTAGTTTTTGTCATTTGTTCTTGGCTCAGCAGATGAAGATTAGTTTAGAAACAAGTGAAAGAGGACTAAAATGTAGATGCTAAATAAAGTAACTCATGTTAATGGGCATCCTACAATTTCTTCCACTTTAGCCAAAATTGTCTCTAACGGTGAATGAAAGGAAGAGGATGGGAAGCAGATGTTTCTACTGTCTGTGGCAATCGATTGTAAATTGGCCTGACACTTCCCCCAAAGAGTTTATCAAGAAGGCTTGGTTCAGAGAATCAATCCCAAACCCAGAGCTGATGCATCAACATCTCAGCCAAAGTGATCAACAACTTGGACATGATGAGGGCTTTACAAAGAAACATTTATTTTGCTACAGAAAAATGATTAAAATAGTAAAGGAATCTTCGAGGATAGCTGCACCTCATGTTGATAGTCCTGGGAGTTACCTATAGACCTCTGTGAGACAACTTTAGGCATCAGGCAGAGGCGAAAAGAAAATGAAAAATTTAGCTCACTCTGGAACATGGTCCCTTGTAAAATAAAGTAGTACCATTTGGGAGGAGTTATCACCTCTGTTCAGATACAGTAGAAGACAGGAATAACAGATGTCACAAGTCAGTTGTGGGGCATGTGCTGAGCTAAATGAAAGGAGAAAATGGAGAGGAAAAACCCCAAAGTAACCAACCTTTTTTAAATTTTGACTGAATTTTAGATAATGAGATAAAAGCAGTCTCTAGCATTAGATCCGAAATACAAATCAAAGCATAAAACAGACGAAAATTATTTTAATGCAAACAATTATTATAATGCATAGCAGTGAAGACATACAGAAACACTACTTTAGCTTGTCAGAAAAACAAATTGAAATAACAGTCACACTTTTCATGCAGAGAACATAAATAAATAAAAGAAAACTAAGAACCATATGTCCTCATTTTGAAGGATGAGGCAAAGTAAAAGAGTCCAGAGAAGGATAATAGAGAAAACAGCATGGAGAGAAAAATATTAAAGAAATGGGTTATAAATGCTATTGCCAGAATGTTGCATAATGACCACTTTTATGAGCAAACAGAACTAGAAATCTTACCTTCTTGCTTTCCAAGAAACCTCCAGCAAGTCCAGAATGTGGCATGATTGAGAAAGAGGACAGTTTTTTCCCTTTGAAGCAGTGAGTATGGGGCACTTCATGTTCTTTTGGAGAAGTCCAGATACTCTGCTAGCTTTTCAACACAGTTCATGTTCTGTCCATTTTCTGTCAGCTCTGGGGAATTGAGCAACAGACTTTAAGGATGATGGAACTTAAGCGTTTATCAAAGTCAAATTTCTAAAGTGATAGATACTATATCAAACAGAGTCTGGAATTATATTTATTTTTCCCAGCAGGTCTGAGACATTTCTGTCACATTTATGTTCCTGGATTTTTTTGATATCTTTCTGAGATAAGAGGGAAAAGACAGACTCCGTGCTGGAAGGAGAAATTATTCTACTAAATTAATACTCAGTTGTTCAGATGAGCGTTTTCCATGCCGTGAGGTACAATCATTGAGGGATCTTTAATAAAATGTAGAAAAGGTTAAGGTCTGCTAACAGAAGCTTGCAACCAAAGGAAGAAGAAAGAAGAGATTATCACCGCTGGTGCAGGGGTAAGCATATGTACTCCCTTGTACTGACCAAACTGCCCTCCTTGCAAAGGAGCTGTTGGCTGGAAAATGTAGCTCCTTGGCAGGTGTGGATGTTGCAGTCAATAATTATGGCCTGTTCCTGGACAGTGATTTCATGTGGTACATCGTAGTAGCCCTGCCAATCAAAGGAGCAACCTGTGTATTCACATTTCCCCACATCCCAACTTTGTGCTCCTCTGCTCACATCCATCTCCATGTCTGGACCCTGGCTGCCCCATGCATCAGAGTCTGTGCTGAGCCCAGTATACCTTAAAATGGTGGTTTTCTTTAGACTAAACACCCCCAGCTCCCTCAGCTGCTCCTGATAAGACGTGTACTCCAGAACCTTCCCTTGCCAGCTCTGTTGCCCTCCTCAATGTCATTGTTGAAGTGAGGGGCTCAAAACTGAACACAGTACTCCAGGTGTGGCCTCACCACTGCTGAGTACAGGGGGACAATCACTACCCTGGTCCTGCTGGTTACACTGTTTCTGATACAAGCCAGGATGCCATTGGCCTTCTTGGCCACCTGGGCACAGGCTGGCTCATGTTCCAGCAGCAGTCAACCAGCATCCCCGAGTCCTTTCCCACTGGGCAGCTTTTCAGCTGCTCTTCCCCCAGCCTGTAGCACTGCGGGGGGTTGTTGTGACCCAAGTGCAGGACCTGGAACTTCATCTTGCTGAATCTCATACCTTTGGCCCCAGTTCACCAATGCAGCCTGTCCAGATCCTTCTGTAGACCCTTCCCACCCTACAGCAGATTAACACACCCACCCATCTCGGTGTCATCTGCAAGCTGACTGAGAGTGCCTTTGATCCCCTCATCCAGATCATCGATAAAGACATTAAACAGAGCAGCCCCCAGTGCCTGGGGAACACACTTGTGACAGGCCACCAGCTGAATGGAACTCCATTCACCACCACTCTCTGGGCCCAGCCATCCAGATAGTTCTCAACTCAGTGAAAAAAAGTGAACCTGCCCAAGCCATGGGCTGCCAACTTCTCTTAAAGAATGCTGTGGGAGACAGTACCAAAGGCTTTAGTGAAGTCCAGGCAGTCATATCCACACCCTTTCTCTCACCCACTGGGTGAGTCAGCATCGGTTGGGACAATTGTGGTGCAGGGATCCTATTCCCTGGTCCTTCTTTGTTTACTTGTACAGACACCGCTAACAAGGCCAGGGAGTAGCAATGACATTCTTATCCTGGTTTTGGCTCCCCTAGACAAGGTGTAGCACAGTTGAGGGGACAGGAAAGGCCAGGGAATGGTACCAGATAGCCATATGGACCACTATGGGTCAGTATCTACCAACCGCAGTCAAGGCCTAATAATGTCTTAATACAGACATAATAGCTGTGCAAGTTTGTATTTACCTAGGCTTGGAAGACTGATGGCCCAGGGATTACTGCTGACAAGACTTTATGCATTCCACAAACTTTGAAGAAGACTCATGAATATTTTTCATAGCTGAAGGGAAACACTTCAGATGTCATTCCTGATGCACAGGGAAAGTAACTATTTAAAGTTTAGTCTGAGGGATGGGGTGGAACAAAACATGCAAATTTTACATCTTCTACAAAACAGTTATTTAAATTCACAAAGGTAAGCGTTTCTTGTCAAGACACTTAATAACAAGATACTATTTGATAGAAAATAGGCCAAACCGCATCAGGAATAGTTTATGATGATTTATTCTACAAGAATCTCCAGTTAATTTCTGCAACTTAATCTAAGATCATGTCTACTAATAGTGTTTTAAGAGGATGCTTTGTTTGCATTTCCCATGATTTGATTCACTTCACAGGGAAGTCTCAGAGAGCATAAAGAGTTTTCTTTGGGTAAAATCAGAAGGTAACTCCAAGCACACTCCTTGTGGACTCCAAATGCGCAGGGTAGCTCAGTCCAGGTGGCCCACAGCTAATTCAAAGTAAAACCCACAGAATTTTTATCATATGGACATTAACACCAAATGTTTTACCTGTCTGCTCAAATATCTGCCCTAGTTGCTGGTATAAATGTAATCTATAGTGCTTTCTGTTTATAGCCCAGATTTTAGCATCTTTTTAACACTTTGAAGAACAGTAGATTAAAGAGGTAAAGCAGAATTTTAATATGCTATTTTGGAAAGAAGCAAGGCACAAGCATTTTACTATAACACATTTAAAGAAAATTCAAACCTTTGACTCTTCTAGTCTGAAGCATATATTTGGTATTAAATTCAACCATCAAATTGCCAACAACTTAGCCTTACCATTCCAATTGACTGAACCAGTATTGACTGGGCCAACTACCCTGGTTGTATGCATACACTGTTATCTGTGTCCAGTGCTGCCATGTCTGAGAGGTACAAATGGATTACCCTCAAAGCTCTATATTTATTTTCTGTGGAAATACATGTGTGAAGATGTGAAAAATACTTGGAGCTTTAGGTATTTGTCATTCTAATTTCTTCATTACTCCAACATTTCCATTGAATAATAGTCAAAACTGCTTAAAACCTATGAAATGGATGGTAATTATTGATGATCATCAGTATAATTTATGAGTATCTCAAATGAAAACAACTTTGCAGGGCATTTGGAAGTCCCCAGAGAAGATGAGAGCAGGCATCCCATAAGCAACCTTCATTTCAGTGCCTGCAGGTGTTGGTAGCAGACTATTTGGGTCAGTAAAAGAACTACAACTGAGAGTTTCAAAAATTAGTTATAAACTGAATGAAGAAAAATATTTTCTTTAAATATCAATTTTCAGCTGTAGAAGAAGGCCAGTCACAGAAGTTAAATATTCTCTTGTGACTTTCTATATCTGGGCAAATGCATCATTGAGTTTTATTTCTGTACAAACAGGAAGCTGTCTGTGCATGGTACAAGTGAATCTGTTAGTCAAACACTTAAATGCTTGCTGAATGCATCTGTCTGTGAAGAAAGGTGTTATGTACTCTCCAGAGGCTTTATAAAATAAGAACTGAATATGGATTCTATTGTGCTGCCTCATGTCACAGAAGAAGCATATATCCTTTTATAAGAGCACAATAATAGTTGAGACAATAATGACATAAAATTATTAACTCTATATGGACGTACTGTATTATTCTTCCACTTCTAGTGCTAAGCATAAAAAAAAAGTTAATAACTGAGCTAGAGTAAATTCTTCACTCCCTTTGCATATCATCTACTCCTCTGAGTATTTTCCCCATCTATACACATCCAGTGTTCACAGTCTGGACCTGGAACACAGGAGCTTACATCTGAGAAGTTGGAATATCCAAGAGATAAAATCTGATGTAACTGAAAGGCCATACCTGAAAGGGCAGCTGAAAGCACAGGAGATGAAGACATGAAGCAAAGCAGAACACTTATTTGGAAATGAACTGGGAATGTGCAAAGAGCACAATGATCAAGGTGTTGAAACAAGATACCAGCATCTACAAGAAACAGGTCACAAGAAATCAGATGAGCACACTGAGACTTGAGGTCTACTTTCCAACTGATCTCTATGCTTATTTCCTGGTAACAAATTACCCTTTTAAGAAAGAAAGAATATACTCTGGGTTACTTTTTTCCAAACAAAGGAGATAGCTAATGGAAAGCTGGAGGACAGAGAATCAGTTATGGCAGGGGAAAGAAAAACAAAACTGGAGGAAGCAATGTGATAAATGCAGTGTAAAGGGAGCCTGACTAGAAAAGTCCAAATGATGCCAAACAACTTATTGAATTAACATGAATGTAAATAAAAACCAAAGTCAATTTTCAAAATATAAATCCAACAGGGAGGCACAATAGTGTTCCCCAGCTGGTGTGCTATAAATGGCTTAGAAAAGGTAGCTGGAGGTCAGAAACCACGTGAGCCATCCAAGGGCAGGGTCAAGACTGAGAAAAGGCCAGATTCTGCAAACTATGGAGAGCTGAGTTTGAGTAAACACAGGAGCACAGTACTGCTCTCAGGAATGAGCTGTTCAGAGGAGAGAGGGACAGTTCCCCAGCACCCCTCTGGTCACCCTTACCACCAGCACAACAGGTACAGTATAGGCTCTACCACTACACTTCCCACTTGGCGGTCTCCTCTCAGACAGATGTTTTATTTATAATTTCAGTTGTCATTTTCTCAAAGCAGAGTAAACAAGATCTTGCTGGCTGTTTTCCTGCATCCTGGATCTGCTCACAAGATCTTATGCCTAGATCATTTCCCAGCTGCTTTAGGGGTTCTGCAGATTATTACACAAATATTTACTTTTCAGAAGAAGAAAGCAAGTGCATTAGACCCAAGTCTCAAAAGCTTTGCTTCTTCCAGCCTCTTCCTGTGGGAGTTTGACAGGTTGAAACAAATGAGTGTGAAGACAACACCGCGTACAGCACAGAGTGTCATTAAAAGGTCAGAGTCACACCTAAGCGCTGTGGTGCTGCAACATCCCAACAGTCAGCAGAGCACAAGGAAATGAT